GGATAATAACGCAACCTCCACATTTGAAGGACCACCATTTTTAACTGAACAGCTTTCTCCGCCGACAGCCCCCACAACTCTACCAGATATAGTAAACCTATATAATGCAAACATCAGCAGGAATTGTTGAAAAGCAGAGAGAGTGGAAACAAATGATTCAGAAGGACGCAAAGAAACATGAAGTCAAATAAATATCCCACCCTGTGAAACGAAAATTTATATCTTCATTTCCATTGCATCCATTGTCATCAACCACAACAGGGACCTGTAGGAAGAAGGAAATAGGGACAAAAATATGTCAGATTTCATAGGAACTCCCTTTCAGATAAGCAGACCGTGACCATGCCATAACAGCATAATAACTAGACTCTATATCAGTAACAACATAATAATTATAAACTAACCTTTTCTGGATCCCATGACCATCCTTCAGGTCCATTAATTTTAACTACAAAAGAACCCTACAGTAAAAACATTAGCAGTGAGAAGAATTGAAGAGTGCACTCAAATGTAAGGTTTAAACCTTGCCACCAAATCATGAAACCGAAAATATCTCAAAAACACTCATAATAATTTCAACCTAATGTAAGCCCTTGAAAAAGACGCCAGAAAAAAAGGGGGGGAATCAGAGTTTGATGGATTAAAAAAAAAGGCTAAAAAAACTGCTCTTGAAGCCCCAAGCCCCTAGCTGAATTCTTTAAGCTGTCGGAGAAACAAATGATTTGGTTTAAGAGGTAGTGATTTGAAGACATCTGATATAAAGCAACGTATGCGCACAAAAATTTTTCGCCATTGTGTTCCCATAAACTGATTATCTACGTGCACACTTGGTAATGAAGGAGACTTTAATTCACATAAAAGCGTATAACAAATCCAACCAATCCCAAGACAATAAAGATGACAAATACTTGCTTAACCAATAAAATCTCTCAGTAACCCTGGAAAAAAAAAATAAGAGGAAAATGAGGGCAGGAAACTATTAAAAGGACATCATCAGATCACTATACAGCATGCAGATCATCTTAAGGAATAGAATGACCTTCACGAAATTTTCAACTCACAACTTCAACGATAAGTTATGAAAATTTCACCTTGTCATATACTGGAATAAAATAGTATCCATTTGGAGCACATTGCGTTCTGTCCTTTACTAGCCCATCAACCGTGAGAAGCTCAACCTACAAGTAAATTTTTTTAACACGAGTTCAGGTGAATGCATTGTTTCTAAGGAACAACAGGAATTCCCTTGTCCATGACACATATAACGTGCATATTGCATCAGCGCATTTTCCTCCCAAAAACAGATCAGGAAAAGTTAAAAAAAAAATAAATAAATAAAAAGACATAAGCTGGATCTTTTACTCATGCCTTGGTTTTCCTTATTTATAACGGCTTCAGAATGTTGAAGGTTTCAAGCCGATAACTGTTCTATGAGCATTATGCAATAAAGTTTCTAACTCCGTATCATCCTCATTTTGTCTGTTTAGATATCATTCAGTACATGCCCTTTGTGAGGACATAAATAAGTGAGTGGCAAAGTTCCAAAAGCTTTGGGGAGAAGCCATTTAACCAGATGGTCTTGGTTCAAAAACATACCGTGATATGGGAATAATCCAACTTGGCATCAGTCGGCTTCCTTGACTTAATTAGGGATGAGCTCGCCTGCAGGGTGGAAATTCGTGATCAAATAAATAAACTCAAGAATGTGTGTGTAAGCATCTGACCAAATAACACAGGAGGAAACAGAAACTTGTAGTAATATCCAGCATCGAGCTCACAAATTGACCAACAGCTCTTGCCAAGACTCATTAAAAAGAAAAAAATCTCATCCTTGTATAGATGTTTTCTATTGAAAAATATTATTTAGCATGTTAAATGAAAAGCAAGAACTCATAAATTCTCAGTCAGCCAAGAAAATTTTACTTTCTAATTCAACGCCGAAAAATAAAACCTGACATGCATGGTATAGTAATCGCAGCCGAGTGTATTAAAAAAAATTGCCGCCAAAACCGGCCATTGCAAAGCTTGCAAATCTTTCTAGAGTTCGACATAAAAGACTAGAAGTGCACGACTATTTTACCTGGACGAAGCCACCACAACCATAAATTAAATCAGCCCAAGCAGCTGAGATCGAAGATGTTGCAATCAGTAAGCAGAGAAAAGCATCTCTAATCGACATTTCGGGATCGGGATTCTGAGGTTGCCGGCGATATCAACTGTGATGGAGTAGACAGATCTTGAGACTCATGTGGGGATCGTTTGTCGTTTATAATAAAAATCACTGCCAAAGTGCTGGACTGACACTTCCCAGATGCAGGGTTTATGGGTTTAGGTTAGCACCAAAATCGTCACCCCCGGCGGGGCGCTCTTAAAATTCAGCAACAAACTGGAATTTTTTTTTTTTAAATTTGCCGGCAATTTTTTTAGGCCAGTAATTTGCCGGTAATATTTAAATTTTAAGCTTTTAACAAATACTACCTTTGCTTCTTAATATAAAATCCTATTTAACTTTTATTTTGATCCTAAATAGAAGACTCCAATCTATTTTTTCTCTCATATTTATATATATTTTTTCAAAATAGTCCTTCTAATAATTATAGTTCTAGCCAATATAGTTGATTAGTAAGGATATTTTAGAAAAGACAACACCTATTTATTACAAATAACTAACTTAACTTCTTTCCTTAATCTTTTCAAATTAGTCAACTGGATCTTATAATTAGGATTGGAGGTAGTATAATAATTGAAAATACGCCCATAAAATATCAAAATTGCTATTGCGGAATGACGCTTAGGAACTAATACGTTGTCATTAGTTCCATTTCAATTTACTAAAAATTTTCGAAATTTTCTGAAGGCACTTTTGGTCCTTGATGATCATGTTAGAATATTAGTTCGTATCGAGTGAAAAATTGAAAGATTTGTTGCGCACTATTTTATGGTTGCTGGTAAATCGTGAAAAAGCTCGTCACATTCTCGCAACACGTACTATTTTATTGGGAAAAAAAAGGTACTTTCAAATTTTACGCAAACACTGCCAGATTTGACGTTGGCATGCACAAAAAAAGTACCGTTGATGTTTCAACCTCAAACACAAAAACATTTTCAGGAATAAATCTTTAACTGCGCAAAAAATTTGCACTGGGTTACCACAATTTGACACGACAAAATTGCAACTACATCCTGATTACTCCTTGCGCGGAAGATTTGAAACATTTCTCTTAGGTTGTTTGTCACTGATTATATACTTTCTTCTGGTTTTATAAAGAAAAAACAACAGAAAAAAAAGTAGAAATTACTAAATCCTAAATCAAGTTTATTTTTTTTATATTTTAACAAGTTTTAACTGAACCTAATTTGCAAATGACAATATTTTTTAGGAACATCTGATTTGAGATTATGTTCAAATTCTTTTTTTAATCCATTTTCTTTTTATAAATGTGGAAACTAATTGAAAAGTTTGTCTTTGTTATGAATTTAAATTTACAATTCATTTTGTTTTACAAATTTATAATTTTTTAAAAATAATATTGCATATACTAACAGGATTTTTATTAATAAAGGCAGTTTCCCTGCAAACAATTAAATTAGTATTTTGAAAAAATTAATACACATTTATTATCAATAACTAATTTAACTGATTTTTGATATTTATAAATTAATTACTTAGTTGTTGCGTTAGATAAAAATAATAATAAATTGTAAATGACTTTTAAAATTTTAACATTGAATATTTTATGGGAAGGGTGATTATATCCGAAAATTTGAATTTCTCTTGCTTTCAACCGAAATTAAATTATTGGCCCCAGAGTGACATTTCCCTCGCTGTAATATTTGATTTCTCTGTGTCGTGGGATTGAGATGGCAGCCTCATGCTGTGGTGTTTTTTGTTTTTTGTTTCCTTTTGTATTCTAAATTAAATACTGTCAACCCAGTCTGTATCTTTTGGCCACTTTTGAGATAAAAATAACAATGTTTTTTTCCTTTTTTTAGCAAGGAGTTCTCACAGGCTACTTTTGGCCATCTGTATCTTCCAACAGTTGCCTCTTCCGTGCGATGCATTTTTCATGAATCTGTGTGCTCAATTGAAAACAATCTAAAAGGAAATGTTTGATTTCCAAACAGATCTAAAAAAATAATCTGTTCCCCCAACTTTTATATTTAGAGGCTGACGGAGTAGCCATTACCGGACAATATTGGCTAATAGCTAGTGATCTTCTGTCTGTGAACAGTGTCGATACCTCATGCTTGATGAAAATAACATGCTTTCAAAGGGTAGGTTTTATCTGTTTGCATTAATTACTTTCAAGTATTTATTTCACTGGTAACCATGGTCTGTTGTTACAGTGGATTACTCCTCCAGTCCTTAATATAAGACTCAATTCTTGAGTTGGTTTTGATTCTAAATATAAGACCTATTTATTATGTTTATCAATTTTTTTATAAATTATCCATATGAATACTTTCTCAACTAGAATCAAGTAAAAGAAAGAATGAGTATTAAGAAAAATGATTATGGTGTTTTAAGAAAAATATGTCATTTTTTTTATAATTAACTAACTTACTTAACTTCTTTAATCTAATCAAATTAGTTAAATGAGTCTTATATTAAGAAATGGAGGAGTATGTTTTTATAGAAATCACATACGCGCGCATTGAAAAGATATTTGCACAGGGCATACAAGATACACAGCATAGATCAACATTCCATATTATAATTTAATCTATGCTTTATGATGAACATTCAATATTATACACAGCGTAATCGACCAGAATGCATGTCATGTGTCAGTGCTCCTTCCTCTTTTCTTTTTTTTTTTAGCCAGAAAATTATGTGACAGTGGACACGAGCAATTCACGAATCACGAAGAAGCCCTAAACAGGCATACGGTAATTTGGAACAGGAAAAAACGCCAAAAAAAAAAAAAAGGAAGGGAGGACAGGAAGTCAAGAACCAAGGAAATAAGAAAGAGGAGGGCCAAAAAAAAAAAAAGGCGCGATCCTTCCTAGTTGCCTCTGGGGACGGGTGGCGGGTCAACCTGAAATAGGGAGGGAAGGAGGGAGGGAATAGATGGACCGATTTACTCATTCCTCACAATGCTTCACACGCTCTCTCTTCTACTTTTCCTGGCCTCCGTCTCAATCGGAGGGGTCGACTCACACGAGGAGTCAGGTGCGTGGAGCTGCGATTCTAACTCGGAGATCCGACTCAAGGTCGACTTTAACCCTGGACTTATCACTCTAGATGGCCATGCCGACGATTGGAAGGACATTGATGGCTCCGACTTCTCTCTTCGCCCCGCTATTGATCCAGATGCTGACAAAGAGTACAAAGGCGGGAAGATGACTGTTAAGGTACTCTTCATATTTCTCATCCAACCTGATGCTATTATCTATAGCCAATATGTGTGTGTGTGGAATAATCGTGCGTTGCATAGCTGCTTGTGAATTATCTTCAACATTTGTTCGCTATGTTTTCACGCCATGATTGCGGTGTATTTCAGACTCTGCACGACGGCCGCGATATTTTCTTTCTGCTTGAAGTTGATGGTGTCTACACTTATTCTAAAGGGTAAGCCATGGCGTGCAAAGGAACTGTATTCAATTCCCCGAGTTGTGTATATTTGCTTAATGCTAACATGCATGTTTGACTGTTATAACAATGTTTTCCTAATAATTATTTTAAGCTCGTGTTATTGCGGCCCAAAATGACTGAAAAACAGGGAATGTTCCCTTATCTTTACATCCACTACGTTATTTCTTCCTCAATTACGACAAACTTTTGTTCACTCGATATATTTTTTGTCAATGCAGAAATAGCAATAAATGTCCATCCGTTGCTCTCATGTTTCAAATTGGGGATGGTGCCTCTTATCACGATGTAAGAAACACCACTGACTAACGGTCTAGTTAATTTAAAATTTCTCAAAATTTTTGCAGTTCCTGTTGCTTCAATCTATTTTAAGCACATTGAGGAAATCGTAATGAATTATTAAATGATAAATCTGCGTCAACTTTATGAGATGGGCGGCTGTGGAGAACATACAAACTCTTGCACAAACAAAACCTGCAAAGGTCATGAAGTCGACATCATGCATTTCTCCATCGGTAATGCTATTCCAGGAAGGCTATATGGCGGGAATCCTGTAGACAACAGGAATGGAAATGGAGGTGACAGGTGATAAACTGCAAAATTTTCGTGGCTTTCACTTTTGAGTATTAGGTTCAAATGAGACTGTCGGTTATAGAGCCATTATTATAATAGACATGTTAATTCAATTGTCCACTTTCATCTGTACAGGTTTGGCCATTTGGTGGATCTTTATGCCTGGAATCCCCACTGTAGATACTTAGATGGATTTGGTCCTCCGGGCTCAGGTATAGATGGATATCATATTTTCAATAAGAAATATGTATTTATATGGTTAAAAGAAGCAAAGTGGATGCTGCAAAGATGACAGCTACGTGATATTAATTTAGGGAACAACCTTACAACTTTCCTTTTAGTGTAACGCTACGGGTTCCTCCATAGATCTTTTAAAAACTCAAAAGCTACTTCTTTAGCGTAAACCTTTTAACTATCTTACAATATTTCTCAAATCGTTATTACTGACTTGAGCGTAGATTGAAATCGTTTGACTGTTTCATGCATGGCACACTCGTGCACACTGGAAAATGATTCACTTTTACTCCCGCTTTCTCTTGAACAACTGAAGCAGTGCCTTCCTTGGTGCATACGTGTGTGGGTGTGCGGGTGTGTGTGTCTGGGTGTGTCCTTTTACTTATGTTTGGTATGCATGATGTTGAAGGATTGGCTGATAAAGGGGATAGGAATGGAGTGGGAAACGACCCTAAAAAAATGATGAAAAGGGGCAGGAACAGTTAATTAAGTAATACTATCAAGAATATTAGACAATGCATAAATTCTTAATGCTTTGTTTTCTTTGATTCCATCTCCCGTTACTTTCCACTCTTCCAACCAAACATTCCGTCCTTGCGGGGAAAAAAAGTTTTATTGTTCTATGGATGTTTTGTCTGATCATATTGTTTCTCATTTTCTCCCCAAAATCTTGCTTTCCTTAATATTTTTTCTGATGTACAGAATTTTAGTATACTTTTGGTCATGCTTTGCCTTCTAGGGAAGTTTATATGTACTTTTTTTTTTTTTTTTGGTGACAAGTTTATGTATACTATTGTAATAGAGAAAGGGGTATTTTTTGGTATCCCAAATAATTTACCCAATTTAAGGTTATTTTAAAACTTGATCATTTTTTTTTTTTGGTGGTTTCCAGTAAATGATTCTAGCGCACAGAATGACTGGAAGGGCGCTTGGTGGCACAGCAGTTTTACAGTTCACTCGGGTGAGTAACCCTTTCCACCTTAATGTATAAAAGAATTAATCCCCACTAAGTCACGAAGTCCATTCAGTTGATCTATAAAAGATAATTGATTCTTTGCCCCTTATTGGGTGGATGTCTTGCTGTGCTATAATTATTTTTCTATGTTAAAGTATATTTTGGCTTTTATCTACTCACACGTGTTGCATTGTATTGATCTCTCTTCCTTTCACCTTATCATCTGGCTATTTTTATGTCTATGTTGCCCAGACTAACAAACTTTCATGCTTGTTCATAGCAGGTTTTATCGAGGATGAGAGTCCATATGCAGAAAATGGAAAAAAGGGTACATACTTTTTTGAATTCTCAAGGCCCTTGAGAACCATGGATCATCTTCAACAGGTTAGAAACTAACATGCTGCTTTCAGAAGTTCATAGGTAGTCAGAGCATGTATTGACCTGTCCAGATATCGTGTTTGTTGATTACTGAATTTGGGTCCATTATTGCCTCTCAATTTATATCCGGATTTCTTGTCAAGTCAGGAGGGTTTTTCTAGACCTACTGTTTTGAACTTTATTGTTGATCAGTTTTGTTGACATCACCATGCTAAGTGCTTAGTTGATATAATCGATAATTGAAGGGAGGTCTATGATTAAACAATTTCAATAGGGGACATCCTTAGTATATTTTCTATCGTTGCTGACAAAATTCTTGCTATACTCGACACAGAGATCATTCTCTCATGTCACAGCCAAAAAGTTGTGGCAGCAACACGACCACCAAAATTATTTCTAGGGCCCATTTTTAAATGCTTTTTGGAACGGTTTTAGAATTATTTTTTTTAATATTTTAATGCATGTTTGAAATATGCTATATCAACTGATCAATGTTCTCTGGATATTACGGGGTAAAAACACGTTTGCAGTCCTTGCTGCTTGTGAGTTCTAAGCTTACAAGGGGCATGAAACTAAGCTTTTCACTTCTGGCTTTTCATAGAAAGGCTGTTGGAAAATGAGTTTCCTGTACTTGACGTGAAACATTTGGGTTTATTTGATGATCTGGGTAGGTGATTTCCGCAAAGGTATTGAGCTTGATGCTTGTTGATGTAGTGATTCGGCAAATTTCTTCCATAGGGAATCTGATTATATGCAAACTCTAACTCCCAAAGATGGTTTGGCATTGATGGTTTTGTCTTTTGATTCTAGAGAGGTAGAGCCTAGGGTATGTCTGAATATTTTTGTAAAATTTGTTGGGGAGAATAATTTTCTTTTAGGTTACAAAGTAAAGACAGTCTTCAGAAGAAGAGATGGAAGGCAGGGTAAGGATTGAACTTGCATTATGTTCCTCCGATTCTTAATGTAAGACCTAATTAACTAATTTAAATAAATTAAGGATATTAGTTAAATTGGTTAACATGATATGTTTTTTCTAAAACACCTTGAGCATATTTCTTAATTCCCTCCCTCCCTCTCTTACTTGATTATTATTAGGGAAATATCAATAGGGTTAATTTGGAAAAAAATTGATAAAAATGTAAAATAAGTCTTGTATATAGGACCAATATCGACTTTCCAATTAGGCCTTATATTGAAGACCGGAGGAGTATGAAAACTCCTAGCAACTATCTCCAAAAAAGATGCCACTTGAGCTAAGGCTCTTTAGATGATTATTGCATCAAGTTTCCATCATCAACTTCCAGCGAGTATAATTTATGTGGCCAAGATTCAGCCACTTAGCTGTGGCATTGGTGTTACAAGTGGCATCATAAATTGCTCCCTCGCCACAATTTGTATCGTTGAGAGTGCTCAAAACCTAGCAGTTTTGTCTTATTACTTAATGCTTTTGAATTCTTTCTACGTGGCAGCAACTAACTGAAATGGTGTACTTTACCTGGTGGTTGCAGGATGCACAATTCACTATTGGTGGATCCAGTAAGATGTCTGCTGCATTCTGGTATCCAGTTGATGATCAACCATGGCATGGTTCTGGACACTATTCTATTGACTGTGATTGGGTTCCCTTTGAAATATCTTCAGGAACTTCTTTGCTCGGCAAGTCAGCAGCAACTAGTTCATGGAGCGCTGCCAGTGCATTTTCTCTGTTCCTATCAGCAGCGGCACTATGCGCAACTGTGTTTTTGGGTTATCATGTATTTTTGAGACCGAAGAATGTCCCTTTTACACCTATGGAGGAGCTTTAAACATAGCCCAAGCTGCGTGAGTTTGGTATTGTACTATTCATTTGAGATTGTACTGGCTATGATTGTACTGTTTAGTGCGTTCACTTTATTCCATTTGTTTAGTTTAATTCAAACATTAATTATCCAGGCAATGTTAGAAAATTTAGTTCCTAGTCAGCATAATGGAGTTCCATCTTGCGCCTAGTAGATTATAATCTCCGGGATCTGTATATAGGCCCGATCAAGAGGAGCGGGAAACTTCCTCCAGAGCCAATGATATTGATGCCTCGGTATAAATATAAGCTGACAAAACAAGGTCTGGATGGTAAAGATCTGGGGTATGCCTCTAGGTTCTAATTTTCATACTGATATGAAAATTACATTGGTGAATATTCTATAAGTGCTCATTCAGTGATGAGGTAATTTTAACGGGTTTCTGACATTAAATTAAATTCATGTCAACTCGCATCCAGAAAAAGATTACTCCTCCGGTCCTTAATATAAGACTCATTTAACTAATTTGATTAGATTAGGAAAGTTAGGTGAATTAGTTAATTATAAAAAATGTGATATATTTTTCTTAAAATACCAAAATTATCTTTCTTAATACCTCATCTTTTTCTTATACTTGATTATAGTTGAAGGAGTATCTATAGGGGTAATTTAGAGAAAATTGATAAATATGATAAATGAGTCTTATATTTAGGACCAAAACTGACTCAACAATTGGGTTCTATATTAAAAGACCGGAAGAGTAATTCATAACTTTGGCTATGAAAATTTAAATCAACTATACCTTGAGGATGAATTTCTATCGAAACCATCAGTAAAATATTAAATAGATAAAATGCGGACCAATATAAAAAAAATTGAAAAGCACATTAATGTCTACTCTATCCTCATATTTTACACAAATTTTTAAACGGGCTCTGATTATTTAAAGGGGGAATGGCATTTGATGGCCGAAGTATTGAATTAATTCGATATTGGAAGTTTGGAGCACTATACAGAATGACTGCAGAAGAACAGAACGGATAAAGGAGTGAAGAAAAACAAGGCCATAAAAGGACGATGAAAAAATTAACAAATAAAGAAAAGTGAGAAAATGAGGTCGTGAAACCGTTGAAAATATTTGCTGGCAGACAAATGAAACCGTTAAAAAATACAGGGATTAACTGTATTTATAAGGACGCGTCTGATAATTGTAGTACTGGGATTGATAGATTAATTTCTACTTCAGAATAATTTTAATAACTGGGATTGATAGATTAGTATGGTCGAAGAACTGAAGGTAATCCTCGGATATACGCGGGTACATTTCTAACGGGTGAAAACGAAATGTTAGCACTGAGGAGCATGTAATCACTTGCCATTTCACAAACTATTGGATAAATTCGTATGGAGACCATCCAGTGAAACTGCCCACTGCAATTGCGCAAACAAATTCACGGAGGTACCGACTGGCAATTGACGAAACAGCATCCGTAGGGGAGAGGGAGAGGCTTAGAGCGGAGGAGTGGAATGGAACCGCTAGGCGTTGTTAGAGCCCCTATCATTTCTTCTTTTCCGCCGTGGAATTCCCTTCTCCTTCCTAAGCGCCTTCAAAGCCATCGTTTTTGCGTTTCCTGCACTTCTTCAGGATCTAGATCAGTGCGCTTCAACTTTCTTTTATTTTTTTGGGTTCTGAAACTCCTTCAATTATTAATTATTGTTATGCACTCGACATGGATTAATCAGGTAGAACATGCGAAAACTGCAGCTTCAACTCCAGAATACAAGCCCGGTGTATTTGATGACTTGTTCCTCAATTTGTTCCGCAACAAATTAGTGGCGGTAAATCTATTGAGCTTTATAGCTTCTTCCCTTTTGTTTCTCTGAGCTTAATTTCCCTCTTGAGCATAATCGGGGAGGGAGGAAAGAGAAACAAATTGGGGAACAGAATGGTCTTCTCTATTTTCAATTAGCTAATTATGGTATTAAGATTGTTTATATGCGCTGAAACTCTACTAGCTGGAAATTGTGGAACGGAGTGCTATATATTCCTATGTTTGTGAAGAGTCCGTCTGTTGACGCTTTTTGTCAAAATATGGTGTTGGAATATCATTACACGACCTGGTTTCAGGAGGTTGGATGGGATTCAAACAAACCTGGATATGATGGACTTATTGAAGTTGCGAACCATCTCATGATGAAGGGAAGAACAAGAGCTGATACGATTGAAGCAGCGGTATATCAGTTTAATGTGCTTCCTTCTGTTGCCATCTATTTAGCATCAGTATCAATGAATAGCAATATCATCATTTGACATACAATACAAAATTTATATCATGTCACAGTATTCACAAATCATAAACAATGCATGGACACACATAGTTTCATATGAAACAGGCGGATCAATGCAAACTTTGTTAGACCTTTGTTGTGTAACCCTCCACTGCCACAGAATGAGTGAACTTTTTGATATGCAGCAGAATATGGTTCGAGTCTCACTGGATTAAATTTAATTGTTTGGTAAAACAAAAACCAGCTTAGAACTGTTTATGACTCAGATTGGTATTGTGATTCTATAATAAATGGAGAGCAGGGAAAGTTTTGGTTCAAACAAATAAACAGTTGGGTAAAGACAAACATTTTATAAGGTTTAGCTTGAACTATTTTTGACTAAAAGTTGGTAAAATAGGAACTGATGTTTCTTGCCGTTTAGTTTTTAGTATCATTTGTCCTTTTGGGTTTCTTATGAATTTGAAATAACGTTTGTGGCAAACTTAGTCGACTAACTATTGATGGCAGGTACGAGTATTGAGGTCCTTGTTTCCTCCATTTCTTTTAGAGCTATATAAAATTCTCGTAGCTCCTATAGGTGGGGGCAAAGTTGCTGCTATGATGGTTGGTGAGTCAAATACATCTCATTTCTATCGTTAGAAGCCAAAAACATGTTTAAACATTCTAAGAAAGTATTTTGTTTTCAAGCAAGGGTTACTGCACTGACCTGTCAATGGCTAATGGGCCCGTGCAAAGTCAATTCTGTCGACTTGGACAATGGAGTCTCTTGCAGTAGTGGGGTGATCACCTGTTCTGCCTTGTGTTAGATCTAGTATGATTATCGTCAAGCTTTAGGCCAAAGAGAATAATGATATGACTGAATGATAACATTTTATTCGAGACTGACATACTTCTCAATTCTTGTAGGTTTATGTGGAAAGATGCAAGTATCTGGAAGAAAGCAAATGTGCCAGTATTTGCATCAATACTTGCAAATTTCCGACACAGGTTAGTGGTCATTCAAAATACTTCTTTGCCATTCATTACGTTGCCATAAGAGATGAAAGTATTGAGCACTTCTCAGTAATTTTTTTTGGCACCTCCAATGTTTACATTTGGCTTTCATTATATCCCATTTAGACTTTCTTCATGGATCATATGGGAGTTCCACTGCTAATGGAGCCCAACTTCAGTGATTACAGTTGTCAGGTAATATTTATACTATCTGTCTATCTCTGCCCTAGGGAAAATTACAGTCACTTTGGCTTTCAGGGAAAACTTCTTTCTATTATATCTCTTATCTACTCACTGCTAGCCAGTGATAATTAGGCATTTCCCACTTGTTTCCGTAGTTCAGCAGAACATTCCTTAAATCTGCTGATGGAATAATTTAATTTTATGGATCTCGATTCTTGCAATAGTGAGCGAGGGAATGATAATCCATCATACCAAATGCTGTTTAGCCAGATTCCTTCGCCCGCTCCCACTCCTTTTCGATGGATTCAGTGATATTTAACGTGAACTGGGATATGTTTTACAGTAGCGGACCCTGACGAACCAATTCAGCGGGCGGATAAGGAAGGCCATGGCCACCCCTTTCACTTGCCCAAGTCCTCAAATTAAATTTTCAATTACCACGTCTCAGCTATGCATATTTTTGAAAGGGAAATTTTTTGGCACGGGGTTGATGTTTACATTTAAACTAACACTTGGTTCTTTCCTCTCTATTCACTCTAACAATGAAACAGGGGCTGTTATTTCACGCCCTGGCAGTGGACTAAAAGTCCACCAGGCCCATCGACTTAGGGTGTGTTTGGATGAAACCAAACCATGGTTTAGAGAATAGCTTCTGGAGAATAAATTCTGAAAAAAATAGATTTTGGGAAGAATAGATTTTGTGAAAAAGTGATTTTGAGAAGTGCGAGTGTTTGGATAGTTGTTATTAAAAGTACTTTTTATATATACAAATTAGCATAAATTAATATGATAATTATAGAAAAAATATATTTTATGATATATTTTAATTTGAAGGAATAAAATTGTTAATAATATATTTTTTATTAACATATATTAATAATATATAAGATAATATAATTAATAAATAATTAATATGTATATATATTTATAAGATATAAGATTAAATATGTTTATAAAAATATGTTTATAAAAAAAACAACAAGATACATATCCTATAGGCTCTCATACTCTCCCTTTTTTCTCCAAAAGTAAAAAATTTCTGCTTTTCCCAAAACCATGGTTTTGGAGTCAAAACCATGGTTTTGAACCCAAACCATGGTTTTGATTTTTTTAAAGGTGTTTGGCTAACATTTTTCTCAAACCATGGTTTAGGTCCCAAAATCATGGTTTGGAGTGTTTGCCAAACACACCCTTAATGTAGAGGCCTTTTCTTCCAGATTTTGTAATGTTGTCTAAAATTCTCACATTTTTTTCCCTTCCACTACCCACGCTGGGTTCAAATATTGAGTTTTATCCTCTTGGTCACTTTCAGTTCTCTTCCAGATCTAAATAAATGGTTGAATTTTTCAAATTCTATTTAAAACAACACAGCACGTTCAGGAATCCGTTCCAAAATGACCGGTTTCAACTTTCAATTCTTTCGCCCCTCGTTGGTGGCCATCTGCTACTTTCTTCAATGGTCTTCTGATTATTTTGGTAGAAACTCGGATGGATAGTCATCAACCAACAGTGATGGCATTCTTGTCGAGCTCTTGCTGCTTTAAGAGACCAGTGATTGAAGTCCATTACATTTTCTTCGTCTTCATTGTGATCTATTTCAAGATCTTTGGAACAATTGAAAGATAGAAGCGGGAGGCATAATTAGAGTAAAACTAGTTTTCCAGCGTTGACCACTGATTGTGGGCTGTGCCTGAAAACTGAAGTTCTATTAGCAATTAAGGATCTAGACGGAGTTAAAGTTGACATTCCGTGTGTCAATTTTTGATGTCTTAAAGCCGCAGATGTTGACGGAAAATAGTTGTATAACCAATATGTCTAATAAGATAAACTGGTGCCACAAGTTTCTTATAGTTGTAAAACACTAAAATGTCAGTTCAAATTTGGAGTCCTTCCACCACAACCGGAAGATGACAGCATCCTGAAAGAGCCCTGCCTGGAGGCATGTCCACATGCTGTCAAGCGAAGAGTCGTTGCCAGGAATATAGATGAAGCTCAAGCTCCGTGCCCCAAGATTTGATTAACTCTCAAAACCCACCGTTTGAAGATGCAACTTTTTAGGTATAGATTTTCTTCAGGCCAAAAGAAAGGCATAGAATATCACTTTCTCACTTCCATACTGATCATTCATCCTTGTATCATCTAGTACTTGTTATTGTCAGCCGGGCATGAGGAGAGATATTGATGTCACTATTTGACTTTTTGCCGTCACTGTTTGACTTATTTGTGGATTTAACGACCACACACGAGTTCGCTTGTTTAGACAACCCGTAATCAGGATAGGAATATAGGATGTATAAAATATAAACGGTTATGGACGTTATGACTTATTTTAAATTTTGTACATGTGGGTGGACTTATTTACTTCAGCAATGGATCAGATTCTCTCAATCACCTCTCCTGCAAATTCAATAAAGCTGATAAATTAAAAAAAAAAAAAACTCACTTCGCTGATATTCATATAAAAAATACCTTCGGCGACTCGTTTCTTTGTTGGCAGGAGAGTGGAAAAGAAATAAGGATTCAATGCCACCTTAATATTATTGTTCTTTGAATTCTCTAATTTCTTCACTAATTGTGAGATGTACTGTTCCCATGTGAAATATAGACTTCAAGTTATGAATCCAATTAATCTCTTTTAGTCAAACATTATTTTGTTTAAGACGAAACGCTTACTTCCTTTGAAATTTAAGTGTGTGATACTATTTTACCTCCTTCATTCTCTTTGGATTTTTTTAATTATTGATGTTCTGTTTTTTAACAATTATTTTGTCTCATACCGATTTTTATAGTTAACTTAGCCTCCTTAAATATCAATATAGAAGTATAGAGATTCATATTTACAAGTTATAAATAGTACTATTAAATATTAACTTAATATTAATTACGGAATTATAGATTTTGTATAAATGTAGGTGGGCATATGGCTCGTTTTAGATGCGATGTAACTAACGGAGCAATATTTTCTATTTCTGGGTTTTAAAATAAAAGGCATTTTGTCCCATACTATTTTTTATATAAAATTTTTCTATTTCTATCGTGTGATGATATTTTCTTCGATATTTAAAGTATTCCACGCAATATAAGGTCAGCAAATATTACAAAAGCCAAAATATAGAATGAACTGCATTTTTTGGCAAACCACCAGCAATAAAAAGTATCTAATACTTCTGGGCTCTGGCATCATAAGGAAATATACGTAATTTTATATTAGCTGTCATTAACACAGGGATATATTGATTTGTGGCGGAAGTTTGTTATCTATCTAATTACTTTGATTCTGCTGGCACAAAAAAATCTAATTACCTGAATTCAAGGTCAAAAAACTTCAACTAAAGAGGATCTCAACTGACAAGATAACGCAAGAAGAAAGTTACAGGCAGCGCACAGTCAAAGGGCCTTTTTGTTCTATGTTACCGTTAACCAACGTCTAGATTCGGATGACCAAGAAATAGCACTGTGCTCTTTTTATTACTCGTATTAATTTTTTTTCCCCAACAAGAAATAGCACTGTACCGACACTATACAGGATCGTCTCCATGCTTCACGGCGAGGCAATCTGAAAAGCGAGACCCCTTGCCTTGACTGTCTCTCTCGTATTTCCCTTTCCTCCCCGTAGCCACTTACTGTTAATGGGTTCTTTTCCGTTACAGCGTACATAGTGACTGGCAATTAACGCCCGCGTGCGCGCATGCCCCCACACGCGTCGGCAACCAAACAAAAAACGCCGAAAAAACATTTAATCCGTTTTTCCCAAACCAAATAAACGACCTTCTCCGTCGCTGGCAAGTGATAACAGATCCACGTACCAACACTAGCAGTCACCTTCCGTTGGCTCTCCGATTCAACTCAGCTATGGGTTCTTGGACTCGGAGTTTACTCTCTCAAGCTCGAATTACGGCGCCTGTATTTCTTCTCCTAGATCCCCCTTCGTTTTCTGTTACTCGTGCTCCTTGCTCCTAGTCACAGTGTCGCTCCTGCTATTCGACTTTTATGCTCATCCCCGCCGTTGATTTCAACGAAATTTTATAGATCTGGAGCGTCAGGGGCAATCAACGGCCTCGGTGATGTCGGTCCTTCCAGTTTCTATCTTAATCGGTAATACAGATTTTTAGAAGTCCATCATTTTGCGTTCACTTGCAGTTTCACAGGGACTTTTATGACTAAGGAAACAGGAAACAATGCAATGGACTTGAATTCTGCTTGCATGTTTGTATAATTTGGTGTTTAGAATCAGGCAATTTCATAGTCCTTCGTCAGCTGCATATTGTTCCCGTATATTTATCGTGTAATCTTCGGAGCGAGAATTTATCTTACTTTGGCTCTCTGCGTTTGCTGGCTACTACCAATGTCAAACTGATGTAAATTGTTAATATTGCTCTTAATGATCTTAGAGCTTCTCTTTTAATTAGACGTGTAGGATTTGCTAAGACGGTTTTTTTCTTTTTATCCACAATCATTCGAACATGAAAGCTGAATTTCATTCCTCGTAGCTTCACACTCTCAACTATGAACTTGGTGGTGAAACTAAGATGAAAACCCATTTATTACAAACCCATTGAGTTGGAAGACGTGTTCATTTTACTTGGTAGGGTCTTTGGAGTTGGGTTTCAGTTAGTGGTGCCTGTTTATTATGCCACCTTGAACCTTTGAAGGTGAAATAGACACTTGAAGGAATTCAAATCATGATACTTCTTTTTATGGGGAGGGGGCTGCGGCACTTTTTGGGTATATGCAAGGGCAATAACTAGTTCAAATTATATATACTAAGGGTATGCTGAGGCAGTTGCACAAAGCCGACATAATTTTCATTAAGAAGAAATATGTTGCAGCTTAGCTTGACTTGAGTTTTAGCTTTCAGTCTATGCTCTATCTTGGAAACAGTCTTGAGGCTGAAGCTCCGGCCATGCTACTAAATAATCCTAAACTACGGTTCTGTAGCTATGGAAAGTAAAGTTCAACTTACGTCAGCATACTGCTTTCTTATTTTTTATCATCAAAAATTGAGTTTGACTTTCTAGTTTTTACAAAAAATGCAGGTGCCTTAAAAGTCATCGAACCTCTGTTGCTGAAATGGTTGCTTGTATTATCTTGCTTAGTATTAATGGCCGACTCTAATGCGTTTTCTCCGGCTAGACCACCTTCTGCTACTATGGTTGTTCATGATCTGCCCCTACCAGCAAGTCTCCATGGACAAAAGCATCTACCATCCAATGGTGGACCAATTCCAACACCATCACCTACCCATCCTCCTTTATATAGTCCATCATTGAGTACAGGTCACCTGCTGGCAAGTTCACATTCATCCAATCCATTCATGAAGGGCAGTGAATTGGGACCTCATGTTTCTGGTTTTGGAGATATTGCCCCTGTACATTCAACAGCTGGTGCGATTCCTTCTGGTTTGGCTCAGCCACCCTTATCCCCCTATGCTTCCAGTAAGTGCCATTTTTGGGACTTCCGTGCTTGTTGTCTTTCTAGTTCAATTTTTGGAGCAATTTAGTATGCATAGTTTTCAAAAGAGCCTCTCTAATGTTATTGTTAGACCTGTCAATATCTTCTACTTTCGCCTTTAACAATCTTGCTTCTGTAGTAAAGAATCTGCTTTCTCTTAATGGAAGTTAGTTATTATTTTAATTACGTTAATAAAAAGGAGTGGAGGGATAGTATCGTTTTTAACTGAATAAAAGGTCTAAACTGCATTGATTAGTCAACTAAAAGAGACAACACCATGTGACTTGGAATAAAGGAACTAAATCATTTAATGAACAAAGTAGGGGGGCCAAAATGAAACGAAGCATTGTATATGTTGCTAATAGCTGATTAACTTTCAATTGAAGTATTATACAATTATACAATATTTTACTAAAAAAATGTGAGATTTGGAATCTGAATCTGACAATGACCTGTGTGTTTATATTTGTTCTGCCAGATTGTTGTAAACAAAACATGGTGTTGAAGCGTGGGAGTAAGAGTTGTCACTGCGTGTATCCCATAAAACTAGACCTTCTCCTCTTGAATGTCTCTCAAAACTCTAATTGGAATCTTGTTCTTGATGAATTAGCTACTCAACTTGGGTTGCAAATTTCCCAGATTGAATTGGTAAATTTTTATGTACTCACTTTATCAGCATTAAATATATCAATGGATATCACTCCACATAAAGGGACTAGTTTCTCTGCCAATGATGCATCTAGAATAAACTCTTCGCTTTCAACGCATAAGATTCAGCTAGATCCTAGATTGGTGGGTGACTACAAACTTCTCAATTTGACGTGGTATGAGCCTCCGCCTCCATCTCAAGGTAAGTCCAAATTATTATACTTTGGTGTCCTTGACAATTGAAACTTACATCAAGATGATTATAGTGCAGATGACATATGGCTAATGCTTGTATTATAGTAATGAAACTTTATAAAATTGTTAACTATAATTTTACTATGCTGTTTTAATATGCAAAATTTTGCATTTATTGTTGCCCTTTTGTTTTAATTCATGACTGCTGCTGAAGTAATGTAAGAAAAGATATATGTACACTGAGGTCTTATTCTTTGCTCACCGTCAAATGCAGAACATATAATTTTGATGTTCACAAAATTTTCTTCTTCCTTTCTGTATATTGTGAGAGATGCATTTTGTGTCATAACATTGCTTATGCATGTTATTTTTTGTTTCTGTGAGTTTATTTATGTGATCCACTTGTTAATTCTTTCAGACGCTTCTTAATTTTGTTTCGTCATTGTATAGAGATGTCTCGTGTAATATATCTGATGACCTGTCCTTATTTTTTATGTTAAAATATGCTTCAAGTTTCCTTGGCCCCTCAAACTCAGTTCTAGACCTAATATCTGATATAATGTTAAACTAGTATCTGTGGGTTGATGAACGGGTTAAGAATGAACGCCTAAGTGTTTATGTGTTGCCTTAGCCTTCTGTTTGAATGAATATTAAGATATTGTTGTGTGTTAGTGCAGCTCCGACATCTGTTGTGTCGCCTATGAAAGCTCCTATTTACCACAAACCAGCAACTTCAACTCCAAGTGCTTCAAATAGGAGAGGGCATTCAAGTTTGTATGCTATTCTTGGAATTGGTGCTGGCATACTCTTCGTTGCCATTATATCTGTACTCATACTTTGTTTATGCACACTAAGGCCGAAGACCAAAGGACCATCAATAGATACTGGTAATTATCTTTAATACTAGCTCCTTTATCGTGTTTACTTATTCGTTTTTCATTTTTTGCCTTTAATTTGTACACATCCGTGTAAAAGCTTATGGAGCAAGCTATTATGAAGATTATTTTTGGTCACCCTTTTACAACAATTTAATAGGGGAATGTTGAGCCCTCTTTAAAGAAAATCTAGACGTCATAAAGAATATAGAGAAAATAGAAAGTACTCTGGGCTGAAGGGACTTTCTCCAGAGGTATATTTATTGAGTGCTAGTAACGAGAGGGATTAATTATTAGTTAATATGTTTTTTCGGGAGTTGAATATGGACTTGTTAGTGAAACTTTGTCTAGCATACACTTTTATCTGCAGAATCAGAATTTGAAAATTAAAACTGCTGACCTTTTTGTTGGAGAGTATTCTGTCTTCTTAACGTGAAGTTTGCAAATGATCAGATGGCTACCACCCTTTCTAGAACCAAAAAGCAAGAGCCTTACCTTATTGAGAAACTTAATACTGCTCTGACGCTATAACGTTTCAGCCTAGCTAATTTTTTCAGTAACAAAAAGTAGACTGTAAGATAAATAGACATGCGAGACTCAAAACGTTCAATTTTTTATTTTTTCGCTGAAATGAATTTTCATCCATTGACTAACCCCTGAATGAATTGAAGAAAAATTGAAACTTCTGATGTTCTTATCCATTGTAGCGTTGATAGTAATCTTTCAAAGTTGTGTATCCTTGGTAGCTTTATTTTGCATTCAAGTTTTGATAATAGTTTTTTCTCTCGGTCCTATAGAGAAGCCAAGGACAGAAGGTGCAGTTTCAGCCGCAGGGTCTTTTCCTCATCCAACCAGCACAAGATTTATTGCTTATGAAGAACTTAAAGAAGCAACAAACAACTTTGAAGCAGCAAGCTTACTCGGAGAAGGCGGGTTCGGCAGAGTTTTTAAAGGGGTCTTAAATGATGGTACTGCTGTAGCAATTAAGAGGCTTACTAATGGAGGGCAGCAAGGGGATAAAGAGTTTTTGGTTGAGGTTGAGATGCTTAGTCGGTTGCATCATCGAAATCTTGTAAAATTGGTGGGATACTATAGCAATCGTGACTCATCACAAAATCTATTATGCTACGAGCTTGTTCCAAATGGAAGTTTGGAAGCCTGGCTTCATGGTAATATGATCTCTTAAATTATAAGTTGGCAATAATCTTGAAGTCTATGAAGTATCTTTTGTTTCAGAACTAGTTTTATGCACAGGATTAAAACTGGCACTATTTCTGCAACAGGTCCTTTGGGAATAAATTGTCCTTTGGATTGGGATACCAGGATGAAGATTGCGCTTGATGCTGCAAGAGGACTTGCATACTTGCATGAAGACTCACAGCCCTGTGTTATACACAGAGATTTCAAGGCGTCCAACATATTGCTGGAAAATAACTTCCATGCTAAAGTTGCAGATTTTGGTCTTGCTAAGCAGGCACCTGAAGGCAGAGCTAATTACCTGTCTACTCGTGTCATGGGCACATTTGGGTTTGTGCCAGTCTCATCTTGTTTGGGCTTCTTATTTCCATATAATAAGGTTCTTAATAAGATGTAATGAAACTGTTGTGTAGGTATGTAGCCCCTGAGTATGCCATGACCGGTCATCTACTTGTTAAAAGTGATGTTTATAGCTATGGGGTTGTCTTGCTGGAACTACTGACCGGAAGGAAACCTGTTGATATGTCACAAACAGCTGGACAAGAGAACCTGGTTACTTGGGTTAGTTCTTCACCTTGACCTATTCCATAATTTTTCCTCCTCATGAAGTTCAAATCATAGTCATCTGGCTTTCTGTGTTCCCTTAACTGGAAATATCTCAAGACTAAAGTTGCGTGTGTTCTTTGGAGTTTTTATGTTAATAACTTCTTGTGCGGAGGTTGGTTCCATACATTGACCTATCCATTATCATGCTTGTTAAATCCTCCTCGTCTGTCCTCTGGAGTGATTTGTGGGTGATGGACAATATACTTACAAAGCTATATACCTTTCAGGCAAGGCCAATCCTAAGAGATAAAGACCGGTTGGAAGAGCTTGCTGATCCAAGGCTGGGGGGAAAATATCCGAAGGAAGATTTTGTCCGGGTTTGTACCATTGCCGCGGCCTGCGTCGCACCTGAAGCAAGCCAACGACCCACCATGGGGGAAGTGGTACAGTCACTTAAAATGGTGCAGCGCATGACGGAACATCAGTGTTCCATGGTGGCCCCTTCCAACACAAGGACTAACCTAAGACAGTCCTCTACCACTTTCGAGTCCGATGGGACATCTTCTATGTTCTCTTCAGGTCCGTACTCTGGTCTAAGTGTCTTTGACAATGACAACGGTTCTAGGACGGCAGTTTTCTCTGAAGATCTTCATGAAGGAAGATGACACTTGGAAAGACAAGCTAACCTACAATCAGCATCCATTTCGAAGTTCGTTGCCTCAATCTAGAGCAGCCTGCTTTCCTATGCCTGAAGGTTTCATAAGCGGCGACATTTTTTAGTAAAGGATTGCAGTTTTCTAAATTTGGCTGCTGAGGGTGCAGATTGTACTATTGTCGCGTGTTTAAGATCCTCCGGGGCAAACGGTCGTCTTGTTTTTACCGGGAGGGGGATCAATTTTTGTACATATCACATGCGTTGTAGATTTTTTCTTCCTTAATTTAATCTTTTTCGTTTGAAATTGCCAGCATTTTAACTATAAATAATCGTGATGAATCGCCGATTTTGCTGACTCTTTTAAACTGGTTTTATCCAGTGATTTTTGTGTGGAGAATTGGCAGGCAAAGATTGGACTGAAATCACGTTACGTATTCAGATTTAAAATGTTTTATTCTCAAAGTTCTAAATTAAAATATTTTCAAATAAAAATTGGAAAAATGTATCTGATTGATATTCTAAATGTATGAGAATAAAAAATATTTGTTTTTTTTTTATATCAGAAAATGAAATAAAATTCAGGCCGTTCGTGTTAAGGTAAGATCAGACATGGGATGAAATGAGTTGAGAATTGTTTGAAGATGATTTTGCTACGAGTCCATGACGTAACAGATTTCAAGATGGCGGTGCCAGGGGGCATTGCTGGAATCCGAACTTACCGGACCAGATGTTAAAATTGAGGTTAATAGATTCACTTTAGTATATAAAAAAAGGGTAGATTTCAGAATAAACCCTATACATAGAAATCCTATTTCTGCACAAAGGAGGCTACAGCCCGCCCACCATATTTTAAGGGGTCTATCCTTGCACTCCCACCTCTCCAAGGCCAACGACGACTCGTTTCGCTGCAGGGGATAGAACGAAGAATGGATTTTAATGGGAGGCTCTTCTTCCTTACTACCCTCTCTTCTCTCCTATGTATCAACGCCACTCCTTTGAACGTAATCCCCTCCGCGGTCCCTCTCGAGCTCGGACAACTATGCAAAGACACAGAGAACCCAGGCCTCTGCATTCGAACCATTTTGCCAACACTGCATGGTCGTCTGGATCCCTATCAGGCTCTCGTCACCGAAATCGACGCCGCCGCCCACTACACCAGGAGAGCCCTCGGTATAATCGATAGGCTAATGGCCCAACCAAACAACCCTAAAAGCTTATCTGATAGCCTTAGCACATGCAAGGAACAGTATGGAAACATCCTGGATTCTATTCAAACTACATTGGGGGTAGTGGCTAAAAAAGCCATGTATGATGCTCGGGTTTCTCTGAGTGCGGCGATTTCGTACCAACAGACTTGTGAGGATACCTTTAAAGAATCAGGAGTTGACTTACCTTTTGCTCGTCAATCTAAACATATATTCCAACTCACCGGCAATTGCTTGGACATTATGCGAGCCTTGGAGAGTTGATTAATCAACTGCGAATTGGAGACGGAGATATTGTAATGGCTGCCATTTATTTCTGATATCTGGTTCTATAGCAGAACTATTGCTCCACCCACGCAAATATATACATCAACTAAATTGACACATTAATGTCACATTCGCAGTTTAGTATAATTTGTTTCTTATCTCTCTTGCAAATTGAGATCAGAAATAAAGTAATACCTATCATCTTTGTTTTTAAATATAAGTTTTTATTTAATTTTTATTTTAATTTTAAATACAAAACCTAATCTATTTTGTCTTCATATTTATATATTTTTTAAGGTAGTCCTTCTAACAATGATAGTTGTTGTCAAGGTTCTTAATCAGCAAAGATATTTTAGAAAGGACAACACATATTTATTACAAATAATTAATCTCCCTCTAAATTAATCAACTAGTTCTTATAATTAGAGTCGAATATGATATTTCATATTTTTTTTGAGAAATACCGACTCCTATGCTGCAAAAACTTACCACGAGATGCTGGTGATTGCGTTGGGCATATCATCAAGACTTTCCCGTTGGACGGACCATGTTGGTAGAAATAAAATTTTGCGGGCCAATTTCTCTCCGGGATCACCCGAACTGAATTGCTCTTCACCCGAGGCACAACAGTTTCCAACCTACTTCTAACATGATTATCTTCGTCGGTTTGATTTCTGCGCTTCCTTTAGAAAAGTCTTGTTTGCAACCTTAATCTTCTAAGAAACGAGGACTTCAAAAATTTGACAGATTTTATATATGCTTATTATAAACACATGATGACAAAAGAGTCAACGGAAAAAAAAAATCATCTCTGCGTCTTCGGAATGGGAATCGAAATTCATTAAGAAGGGCCTTGGAATTGGAGAATTGGACAAAGGAGGGAAGCATCACATTCATGAGTTTCCATCCAACTCTTTCTTTTCCTTTTTCGATGCATGATTATTGAGCATCCACAAACTTATTACCACGGCTCTCAATCCGCCGGCGTTCATCATACTTTTGATAAACACGTCACTCAAACGTACGTACGTACGTACGTACGTACTGGATGTATTTTGGCCCGTCATATAATAAATTATTGATTTATCATATTTAATCAAACCTCATTTAAAAAACAATTGAAGAAAAAAATATAGGTCCAGGTCCTCAACTTCTTCCTATAATAAAGTTAGAATTTTTCCTAAGAAAATAATTTTTTATAAAAAATTAACCATTCATGACGTTTATATATAAATACGATTTATTTATTTTTAATTATCAACGAGAATAATCATCACATTGGAAAATTGGTAAGTAAAAAAAAAATCAGATTAGAATGACAAAGAACACGTGTGACGCACAGGGGAATAAAGAAGAGGAGGGGAGGATCTAACGTACGCCGGGGGAGGCGCACACGCTTGGCATGCGCACAGAGTTGCAGCATAACCGTGCGAGCATAGAAGAGGAGGGAAATAAAAAGCGGAGGGAGAAGTAAGAGGGCTGGGCATCAGACAGAGACACAGGGTGAGTGAGTAGGATCGACGAGTCCGAGTCGAGTGACTGCATCAAACAAAAAAAAATAACACATAGGTGGGTTTGGGTGTGGAATTAGCAAAAAATGGTGAACAAGGAGATAATTAGTCCTCTCTCACCTTTACCACCAGCACCACCTCCACTCTCTCTCCACTATCCCTATTCCCATCCAACTCCTCTAACCCTAATCCCCAAATTCATCTCTTTCTTCTTCCGTCGTCTTCCTTTTTCCCTTCGCTTTTTCCCTCCGCCTCCGCCCGACATTTGGCTTCAAAGCTCTCTGCTTTTCTCTTACTTCGATTCTCCTCCACTGCATTCCTGCTTCTCGCTAGGTTTTCGATCTTTTTGGTCGGGGAGATTTGTGTTCGACCTCTGAGGTAATAGAACCTTTTTCTGCGTTCTGTTTCTTTGTTTACTGGGAGATTATTTTTTCTCGGCAATTTAGATTTCGATGCCAATTCTTCTCTACGGTGTTTCGTCCTTGGTGGATTCTTGGCATTCTGTTTTATTGGACGTGTTTTTTTTTTTGGTTATAGCGATAGATCGTCAACCTTGCCCTATGTGAAGGGTTAGTGATTTATCGTGGTTGGATTTTTATTCTTTATTATATTTTGCCTGCGCAGATGATAATGTGTTACTTCAGATCATGTTAGGATTGCTTGTGACTTTGGTCTCTTTACTCTAAATGAAGTACGGTTTTTTACGGGTTTCTACTGCTTCATTTGGTTTTCTAAATCATCATGTAATTTTAGGATGATAAATTTTCTTCGAACTCTTTTTTCTCTCTCTCTCTGTTTTTTTTTTTTTAAACTCTTGGCCGTTGACATTGGCAGTTCTTACTTGTGTTAAATTCGGTTCCTGGTTGCATCTTAATTTTCAGCGTAACTTTGCTTTCGTGCCACCTCTTTCAATTTACCTTTTTCGTGCCTATTGCGGGTTATCTTTAAGGGATTCTGTGGTTTCATCGCGTCTACATCAACACCATTAGTTTTAGTAATTTAGACAATAAATTGTATTCTGGTATGCGTTATATTATTTTTCAAGATGACTAAATTAATAGAAAATACTTAGTCTTCCCTTTGCCCTTGTGTTGGTTACTCTGAAAAGAGAATCTTTTGTTTTGAAGTTACGGGTAAATAGATTTCTATAATGAAATTGTATTTTTTTTAAAAAATGATTTCTATAATGAATGGCCCTTGATGTAATTATTGATAAGCTGCGTGGTTGTAATGGTTTTTTTCAACTTACCATTATTGCAGTTGTGGAAGAAGCAGCAGAAAAGCTGTGCTATCATAAAAATTCTCTTATGGAAGACTTAAGTGGTACACGGTTTGATGCTATTGGCATTGCAGTAAGGAAGAGGAGGAGTCAAACTTCTCGCAGACCTCGACCTGATTCACAGCCTACTTCTGAAGGACATGATCTGTACCCTTTGTCATCTACATCACCTTCAGATGACGTGGCCAAGGCTTCTAGTGATGAGAATGCCGGTTGTGATTCTAATTCTAAAAGAAAAGAATTTAACCTTAACCAATGTTTCTCTCGAGTCTCCTCTTCTGCCACACCCGAAAATGATAAGCCTCTTAAGAATAATAAAAATGACGTAGGATTCCATGTGTTTTATAATAATGAACCTAGACAGAGTGGATTATCTAATAAACGCTGTAGTGAAGGTGTCCTTGCTCCTGCTAATTGGAAAGGCTCTAGCAAATTAAAAGATAGCTTGGAATCAGAATCAAAAAGTGGGGATGCGAATGGTGGAAGGAATTTGGAGTGGCTGAATTCGGAACATTCAGGAGTTCATCCGGATGGAGCAGGGAATGAAAGCAGGGTTAAGAAGGTTAAACTCAAGGTTGGTGGTGTGACACGGACTATTCAAGCCAACTCTGTATCTAATGGGGCATCAGGAAATGGATTGGCTGTAAAGAGCTCTCAGACATCTGATTCTTTCAAACAACGTCCAAAGCAAAAGGTATTTTTACTTTTGGTTACTCGATATTCATGAGTCATACCTTATTTGGCCAGCTACATGTCTTACCAAGTTAGTTTTATACTTTTGGTTACTTGATATTCATGAGTCATACCTTATTTGGCCAGCTACATGTCTTACCAAGTTAGTTTTAAATCTTACTTGTATTGAACAGTATCTGGTGCCTTGATTTCTCATTTATGAAGGTAATAATTGCCCAACTCTTTTTAGCTCATATTATCTCATTTAATTTTTTCATTGATTGGTGTTGTTACAGGGAAATTCAGATGACAACCATTCTTCTTCAGATAAGAGGAGTGGCCTCCAGGGTGTCCCTTGGAAAGATTTCCCTAAGGGTGGTTTTGGTTTTGGGAAGGAGGATTCGATCATGGGGAAAACTCATGGGAAGAATGCGTCAGGTAAGCAAGGGGACAGGTCTGAACCAGTTCGTAAGAGCAAGAGAGTACCTAAGAGACGTGTACTTCATGGGGAATTTAGTGATGAGGAGGAGGAGGATATTGAGATTCGGTACTTGGAAAAGCTCAAAACTTCAAAAGTCTCTGCAGTTTACAGAGATGATGAAGAAGTAAGCAAGAAGCACAGAAAACTTTCTAGTGTCTCTAATATGGAAAATGCTGCCTTATCAAGGTCAGTCAAGGATGACAAGAAAAAGTCCAGATCAGATAGAATTTATGAGGATACAGATTATGAGGAAGAAGAGGAGACTGGGTCTGATGGTGAGCGTGACGATAGGAAAAAGAAAAAGCAGAGGAAGGAATCTGTTGATGTCTTGATGGACAGTAAAAGAGAAATAACTCTTACAACTCGCCAACGGGCTCTCCAATCAAGTAAAGATGCCTTGGCATCTGGTTCAAGTTTAATCGAATTTCCTAATGGATTACCACCCGCTCCACCTAGAAGTGAGAATTTATTACCATATTATTTTCTTATTTGAATTTCATACCTCATTCATCAGCCATGTGACTTTATATTTATATTGTTACTTCATAATTGCAGAGCAAAAGGAGAAGCTTTCAGAAGTTGAACAACAAATAAAGAAGGCAGAGGCTGCCCAGAGGCGAAGAATGCAAGTAGAGAAAGCTGCCAGGGAATCTGAGGTTTGTTATTTTTTTTTTTTAATTTCCTTTCTAAATTGTTATGTTTTTTATCTTCTTATTTCACACTGAAAAGACTCATGACTGCTTGGATTCATTTTGCAGGCTGAAGCTATCAGAAAAATACTCGGTCAAGACTCCAGTAGGAAGAAACGAGAAGAGAAAATGAAGAAGCGCCAAGAAGAACTGGCACAGGTTTTACAGCATTGAAAGATTTTTTACATGCTATTTATTTCGATTTTCTGTATAGATACAGTTTTCATTGAATTATTCCCCACAGGAGAAGGCAGCCAATGCACGAATGCTTGCGTCAAACACCATCAGATATGTGATGGGTCCTGCCGGGACTACTGTGACATTTCCTGAGGAGATGGGCCTCCCTAGGTTATTCAACTCCAAACCTTGCGGGTACCGAACTCTGCTAAT